ACGCGAAATTCAACCTTAGGGTGGTAGACCACTTTCTTGGCCGACTGTACATCTATACTATTATTATCAAGAAGAAAGATTTGATTTGTGCGTTTGTTTGTTTCCATTGAATAGGCTTTGAAACTACTGGAGCGACTTAAAAAAATATTTCACTTACGGGTAGCTACATTATGCCGATCTACATCTGTACATAAATTTCAACTCAATTTACCTAGTAATTATGCAGACATTTAGCTGTGTTTTACAGACTGTCGGTCAAACAGACAGAAAGGCTAAATATCTTACAAGCGCTATTTTTAACCTTTGGCGTTCCTCAACCTAAATCAATTATAAATCTATAAAAAGATAATCACAAATCAAATTGGGATTTATTTTATTAAAAAAGTTTTCAATGGATGTCGACTCTTCACATTTTGTAGACTTGTATCTCTAGCGCTCGACTGATGGTATGGGGTGAAAATAATAAAATATATTTTATATCTACAAATTTATTTATGTACAATATACAAAACAGTAAATTTACAGGCAAGTCGTTATTATTTTCTAATACAATGCTCATTTAATATTATAATCTACAAATTACTAAATTAAGGTAATGGTACAAAAAAATTAACGATCTATAAACTAATTACAATTATTAAACTCTAAACAAATTTAGGTACACCGACAGTACACGTAATTAAAGTATACACCTTATGCGGAAGATATAAAAAAAAGAAAATTCAGACTTCAAAAATGCTTGAAAGAGCAAAGGTAAGGTTAACAAAATCAATATACTTATATTAAAATCAAACTTATCATTATAATAACTTACACAAATCCACGTATGTACTTATTGACTACATCTATTGGTACAAATTGACTACAACATGCATTAATCCGTAATTACAATAGCGGATGAATCATTCTTTTTTAATAATGTCTAGTGTTTACATATTTTTATAACAGAAATCGTTACACTATCTACAGACTAGCCTATTTGTACTAAACAATAGAATATGGAAAACATGTGTTAGTTAAGTTGTAATTTTGGCATCTATTTATTTATTTATTCATGTATTGCATGTATAAAGATGTTACATTTATATTTACAGTTCATGTGACACCCTGTATGGGTGTAGCAAATCCTGAGTATATAGTCTTTATATAATATAATATAATATTGTCAACTTATTATTTAAAATACATCAAATTATAATTATATTGATTGTGCAATGCATATCCTACTTAAGGCTATATATATCTAAAAACAATTTATATTTTATTCATTATATATTATTAATTAACATTGGCATCTACAATAAATGGTTTAATTTATAATAACTTCATCATAACACATTACGTGTGTAATATTTATTTATTTATTGAACTTTTAATGGTAATAGCTAATAATATGTGTTTATCCAAAATATTAAGTAGTAGAGTGTAGTGAAATAATACACTTAAGAAATTCAGGAACAAGTATGAAACCTGCTGTAAACATAGAATTATGTATAGGTAAGTAATTATTGCAAAAAAATATCAGTCTGGTTTTAGAATATTTATCTCTTTGTATCTGCCAAAAAATAAGTAGGTCTTAAAGGAACCACAGCAACACTCTCCATAAGAAACAAAAGAGACAGAAACACAAGTGCGTGTCAACAGCTGAGCCTCACATGTGAATCTTTTCAGCCAAGTCTCTGTCACTTTCCCTTTCCCCTTCCATTGTAAATACTTTATAATAAATATCCGTCTCTCATTGGTTATTATTTTGTCTACAGTTTTGAGTAGTGTTAATTATCTTATTTATTTTCGTATTAAGTATAAGTACTGTAAGATTTCATTCACCTTCAACGGAGTTTTACTACTCAACGATAAGCAAACCTTGGCCCGATTAGAGTTACCAAAGTGGTAACCCCGACGTGATCACCAATCGATACGACATCAAGACAACTACGTGATCCTGCTTCGGAGATGCTAGTTGCAATAAAGGGAGCGCAATTATCGCTCGCAAAAACACCTTTACAGGATGACAAAACGGAAGCGTCGTACGGCCGCCGCTCCGCTGCGTTCTGGCTCGATAAATCACATTTGTGGTACGCCGTTTTTAAAGCAGCAGAAAATGAGCTCCACAAAAAGGAAGCGCAGAAAACTCTGTTGGTCATCGCCCAGTCCACATAAGAAAATGTCGATCAAATCTGCGATCTTTACATACTGCCATTAAAATACTACAGTCATTAAAATATGACAAATATATCTACAAGAGAGGCATCAGACAGCAAGCAACTACAGAGATTACTCTCCGACTTTGAACTCGGCGACCAGAACCGACACAGTTACTACGTCGGATGGAAACGCTCACCCGGACAAAGTTCTAGACAAAACACTACGGCTGATATGGTTGAATCATCTACTACCACACGTACGTTCGGTTGATGTAATTAGCGACACATTAAGCAGATATACCGCACTCGATGAAATCATCAAGCTGTAGAGCAAAAAGAAATTACCGCAGTATCAACTATCACTTACTCAATAACAAAGAAGGAAGATGAATCAAACAACGTAACAACGCAAATTTTTGTTCATGCTTCAGAAAATCCATACGGAGATTGATGAACTAGAACAAAAAACAACCCATTATCACAGCAGATGTGGCGGACCGCCACAATATCATAATGCACAACAGAGGAACGACCACAGGACGTGGATCGTCATATCCCCGTCTCTCGACTCGTAAAACTCGTACTTGCTCAAGGTACAGTCAAAAGACTTTCTGCCTATCCCGTTTGAGAAAAGTATTGCTTGCACAAGTTGACAACAGAATGCCCCGCCCTTTTTTTCTTAGCCAATGAGCAACTGAAGCCCTTGTTAGTTTGCAATGTAACCAGATGGACCGTCCCTGTTTTTACTAATGTCTATTGTCTGCGTTTCTTATAACTTTCACGAGGTTTGTTCGTTACACTATCAGTCTGTTAGTTTAGTTGCAACTTTGGCATCTTAACACCCAATACACTTTATCATAGAAAATGAGTTCTCCAATAAATTTAACTGTAGTGAAGCGAAGCAAAATAATTCATTTGCGAAATGCCGGAGAAAGCATAGCCTAAATCGTAGAATAATTAAATGAATCGGTAGGTAATTATGGGAGCCTTTCTTTCTTTTCATACAACGGAATAAGTCGCTTGGCCATGTTAATTTGGTTATAGATCAATATAAAAATAATAACTTTTATTTAGTATAGTGAAATACGGTTTGTCTGTGGTTACTATTTTAAAATAATAATTTCCTCTATACATACTCAGATATAATATTTTATAGAGGAAATTACCTTTTATTCCTATTTCTAATTATTTTTATTAGATCAATAATCGGTATCTACAATTACCTTGCTACATCCATTTGATTCTGTCACTACTATCAAATTCAAGTCATCACCTTTGAAGATCGGTACAGGTGGATTCAATAGATGAGCGAAACTGTCTATAAAGCATCCTTCTCTCTTGGTACTAATTTCAGCATCGTGTTCAAATAATTTAAGTTTGTACCAACACAATATTGCACTACACTCCGCGTCTTTCAGTGGCGTCACTGACACTATATGGGACCGATTTAAATTGCAATAGTCCGATAGCAGAACAGGATTTGACAACTCTTCATACTTTATCACAGACAAGTCCAGTTCGAGCGCTTGAGTTGTCTGGTACTTGTTAACGTGCGACGCCATTTTGAAGCCAATATTGTCATCTAGTAACTTGTTATTTATATCTAACCAATCACTCGTCGCTAGTTGAAGTGTCACAGTGATACTCGTGGGCAGTAAGAGACCGCCCGGAGCCAAGTGACTGATTCGTAAATTCTGTATAGTCTGCCACATATAAGCGTCGATATCTTCGCGCAGAAGCAACTCCGTAGAAAATATAACATGATGCACCTGATCTTTATAGAATTCTTGTTGCCATCAATCGCCATAAAGGACTGTAATTTTATCCAGTGGTATGTCGTTCGCCTTGAAGGCGGACTGTATAAAGTTTTGGTCTTCCAAACTCCACGCGTCGCAGAGCAAAGATCTTGCACCTCGAAGCATCATTTGAAGCCCGAACATCGGGAATGGACTAAAGTCAATTATATCTGTGTCGGTCATATCTACTATATGCTGCAGATAAGCACAAGCTGCCGGAACACAACGAATTATTGCGTTCATGAAAACTGTCGTTTAGAAATCTAATCAGGGAAATTGAGATTCTCTGTTTGCTGAATTCTGTTTGGAAAGCTATTTTTCCCTCTTTCAACACAAATTTAATTGGTGTGCTCTGATTGATATTTACTTTTGTCGGTACAAAATCCGGAAATACAGCTTGCGACTACCCGTTTGTGCGGCTTTCGCACGGTACAGTAGCGGTAAGCGGGTCATTCGTTAGTTCTATGTATTTTGTTAAGTAAAGTTTAAACCAGCCCACTATCACATCAATTTCACCGTCCTCATTTGCTATTAGGTTAATATCGTAATATGATTTACGATTTTTTGCTACCACATCGTCATATCGATCAAAATTGATATCGAAAACTTAGTGTTCATCCGTCATGATTTTGATATCGTCGTACATATTCAAATCTTCTTTGTAGAATGTTTTTTGTTCAGGTAACATACAGAGCACTTTTGAGTTTGGAATGTTCAAAATTTTCTTCACTGTTTCATGCAGTCGATATTTATTAGCAATACGTTTGCATTTCGCTCCTGCAACCATTTGAAGCCCGAACATCGGGAATGGACTAAAGTCAATTATATCTGTGTCGGTCATATCTACTATCTGCTGCAGATAAGCACAAGCTGCCGGAACACAACGAATTATGCGTTCATGAAAACTGTCGTTTAGAAATCAAATCAGGGAAATTGAGATTCTCTGTTTGCTGAATTCTGTTTGGAAAGCTATTTTTCCCTCTTTCAACACAAATTTAATTGGTGTGCTCTGATTGATGTTTATTTTTGTCGGTACAAAATCCGGAAATACAGCTTGCGACTACCCGTTTGTGCGGCTTTCGCACGGTACAGTAGCGGTACGCGGGTCATTCGTTAGTTCTATGTATTTTGTTAAGTAAAGTTTAAACCAGCCCACTATCACATCAATTTCACCGTCCTCTTTTGCTATTAGGTTAATATCGTAATATGATTTACGATTTTTTGCTACCACATCGTCATATCGATCAAAATTTATATCGAAAACTAATTGTTCATCCGTCATGATTTTGATATCGTCGTACATATTCAAATCTTCTTTGTAGAATGTTTTTTGTTCAGGTAAGATACAGTGCACTTTTGAGTTAGGAATTTTCAAAATTTTCTTGACTGTTTCATGCAGTCGATATTTATTAGCAAAACGTTTGGATTTCGCTCCTGCTACATAATATTCTCCCTTATATGGCAGCGCCAATATAGCACTACACTCCGCGTCTTTCAGTGGCGTCACTGACACTATATGGGACCGATTTAAATTGCAATAGTCCGATAGCAGAACAGGATTTGATAGCTCTTCATACTTTATCACAGACAAGTCCAGTTCGAGCGCTTGAGTTGGCCGGTACTTGTTAACGTGCGACGCCATTTTGAAGCCGATATTGTCATCTAGTAACTTGTTATTTATATCTAACCAATCACTCGTCGCTAGTTGAAGTGTCACAGTGATACCCGTGGGCAGTAAGAGACCGCCCGGAGCCAAGCGACTGATTCGTAAATTCTGTATAGTCTGCCACATATGAGCGTCGATATCTCCGCGCACAAGCAACTCCGTAGAAAATATAACATGATGCACCTGATCTTTATAGAATTCTTGTTGCCATCAATCGCCACAAAGGACTGTAATTTTATCCAGTGGTACGTCGTTCGCCTTGAAGGCGGACTGTATAAAGTTTTGGTCTTCCAAACTCCACGCGTCGCAGAGCAAAGATCTTGCACCTCGAAGCATCATTTGAAGCCCGAACATCGGGAATGGACTAAAGTCAATTATATCTGTGTCGGTCATATCTACTATCTGCTGCAGATAAGCACAAGCTGCCGGAACACAACGAATTATTGCGTTCATGAAAACTGTGTCGTTTAGAAATCTAATCGGGGAAATTGAGATTCTCTGTTTGCTGAATTCTGTTTGGAAAGCTATTTTTCCCTCTTTCAACACAAATTTAATTGGTGTGCTCTGATTGATGTTTACTTTTGTCGGTACAAAATCCGGAAATACAGCTTGCGACCACCCCTTTGTGCGGCTTTCGCACGGTACAGTAGCGGTAAGCGGGTCATTCGTTAGTTCTATGTATTTTGTTAAGTAAAGTTTAAACCAGCCCACTATCACATCAATTTCACCGTCCTCTTTTGCTATTAGGTTAATATCGTAATATGATTTACGATTTTTTGCTACCACATCGTCATATCGATCAAAATTGATATCGAAAACTTAGTGTTCATCCGTCATGATTTTGATATCGTCGTACATATTCAAATCTTCTTTGTAGAATGTTTTTTGTTCAGGTAACATACAGAGCACTTTTGAGTTTGGAATGTTCAAAATTTTCTTCACTGTTTCATGCAGTCGATATTTATTAGCAATACGTTTGCATTTCGCTCCTGCAACATAATATTCTCCCTTATACGGCAGCGCCCGCGCATCTCGAGCTAGCAGACGTTCCCAAGCACTCTTAAGGTTTCAAGCATACCGTATCGTAAAAGACCCTCGTCAAAATTATTAATTATTACGAATGTACGCTTACCAAGAATGCCAGACGGAATAAAATCTCTTATAGGATGATCTACGAGAGTGATCGAGTAGTCTTGTCGCTCTAGCACAATGCTTTTGCACGAGCTGGGTGAGAGCAGGCAATGAGTTAAAAGCTCACAGTGGACTGCGCCTTGCACCCGCGGGCTATCAGCGCCGATAAACCAATGCCCCCGTCCATGTCTAATATTCGGTCGTATTGAGGTTTTATCTCCATGTACATGGCGGATCCATACGCGGCGTTTCGTGTTTTATCGTTATATAATCTGAACAGACCTCTGTCAAAGATCATTTTCTTCGACTCGTTCATTTTGATTTCAACATTTACAAGGCTCGAATCGAGGTTTAAAGCTTTTTCGTAGTGAATCAGGTCCTCGGCATGCATACCGTAGCTGTAAAAGATGTCACCGATGTCAGTCATTAGAACGATGTTATCGGGAAAAGCGCGTAAGGCATAACGCACGCAGTACATCATTTCGAAGCTGTGTCGTGGCATTTTGAACAACGCTTCCATTAATTTGGCCAACACCACGCGGAACTCGTATTCTTTATATATTTTCACGGTTGGGTGCTTTTCTATTGCCGTTAAATAAGACTTGAAAGCGTCCCGGTATTCTCCTTGGGCAGTCAAACGACGAGCTTCATTAATCTCCAAATACTCCATTTGGAAATTATTATGTAAATAGCACTTTAAAAGTATAAACTATCAATAGAAGCTATTGCACACACAGTTATTGCACTTTTGGTGGTATCTAAAATTACCTTGCTACATCCATTTGATTCTGTCACTACTATCAAATTCAAGTCATCACCTTTGAAAATCGGTACAGGTGGATTCAATAGATGAGCGAAAGTGTCTATAAAGCATCCTTCTCTCTTGGTACTAATTTCAGCATCGTGTTCAAATAATTTAAGTTTGTACCAACACAATATTGCACTACACTCCGCGTCATTCAGTGGCGTCACTGACACTATATGGGACCGATTTGAATTGCAATAGTCCGATAGCAGAACAGGATTTGATAGCTCTTCATACTTTATCACAGACAAGTCCAGTTCGAGCGCTTGAGTTTTCCGGTACTTGTTAACGTGCGACGCCATTTTGAAGCCGATATTGTCATCTAGTAACTTGTTATTTATATCTAACCAATCACTCGTCGCTAGTTGAAGTATCACAGTGATACCCGTGGGCAGTAAGAGACCGCCCGGAGCCAAACGACTGATTCGTAAATTCTGTATAGTCTGCCACATATGAGCATCGATATCTCCACGCACAAGCAACTCCGTAGAAAATATAACATGATACACCTGATCTTTATAGAATTCTTGTTGCCAACAATCGCCACAAAGGACTGTAATTTTATCCAGTGGTACGTCGTTCGCCTTGAAGACGGACTGTATAAAGTTTTGGTCTTCCAAACTCCACGCGTGGCAGAGCAAAGATCTTGCACCTCGAAGCATCATTTGAAGCCCGAACATCGGGAATGGACTAAAGTCAATTATATCTGTGTCGGTTATATCTACTATCTGCTGCAGATAAGCACAAGCTGCCGGAACACAACGAATTATTGCGTTCATGAAAACTGTGTCGTTTAGAAATCTAATCGGGGAAATTGAGATTCTCTGTTTGCTGAATTCTGTTTGGAAAGCTATTTTTCCCTCTTTCAACACAAATTTAATTGGTGTGCTCTGATTGATGTTTACTTTTGTCGGTACAAAATCCGGAAATACAGCTTGCGACCACCCCTTTGTGCGGCTTTCACACGGTACAGTAGCGGTACGCGGGTCATTCGTTAGTTCTATGTATTTTGTTAAGTAAAGTTTAAACCAGCCCACTGTCACATCAATTTCACCGTCCTCTTTTGCTATTAGGTTAATATCGTAATATGATTTACGATTTTTTGCTACCACATGGTCATATCGATCAAAATTGATATCGAAAACTAAGTGTTCATCCGTCATGATTTTGATATCGTCGTACATATTCAAATCTTCTTTGTAGAATGTTTTTTGTTCAGGTAACATACAGAGCACTTTTGAGTTTGGAATGTTCAAAATTTTCTTCACTGTTTCATGCAGTCGATATTTATTAGCAATACGTTTGCATTCCGCTCCTGCAACATAATATTCTCCCTTATGCGGCAGCGCCCGCGCATCTCGAGCTAGCAGACGTTCCCAAGCACTCTTAAGGTTTCAAGCATACCGTATCGTAAAAGACCCTCGTCAAAATTATTAATTATTACGAATGTACGCTTACCAATAATGCCAGACGGAATAAAATCTCTTATAGGATGATCTACGAGAGTGATCGAGTCGTCTTGTCGCTCTAGCACAATGCTTTGCACGAGCTGGGTGAGAGCAGGCGATGAGTTAAAGCTCACAGTGGACTGCGCCTTGCACCCGCGGGCTATCAGCGCCGATAAACCAATGCCCCCGTCCATGTCTAATATTCGGTCGTATTGAGGTTTTATCTCCATGTACATGGCGGATCCATACGCGGCGTTTCGTGTTTTATCGTTATATAATCTGAACAGACCTCTGTCAAAGATCATTTTCTTCGACTCGTTCATTTTGATTTCAACATTTACAAGGCTCGAATCGAGGTTTAAAGCTTTTTCGTAGTGAATCAGGTCCTCGGCATGCATACCGTAGCTGTAAAAGATGTCACCGATGTCAGTCATTAGAACGATGTTATCGGGAAAAGCGCGTAAGGCATAACGCACGCAGTACATCATTTCGAAGCTGTGTCGTGGCATTTTGAACAACGCTTCCATTAATTTGGCCAACACCACGCGGAACTCGTATTCTTTATATATTTTCACGGTTGGGTGCTTTTCTATTGCCGTTAAATAAGACTTGAAAGCGTCCCGGTATTCTCCTTGGGCAGTCAAACGACGAGCTTCATTAATCTCCAAATACTCCATTTGGAAATTATTATGTAAATAGCACTTTAAAAGTATAAACTATCAATAGAAGCTATTGCACACACAGTTATTGCACTTTTAATGGACACTTGAACGTTTATTTCTCACGTCCGGCGTACGTCCGGCGTGTACGACGGTCGCGTATGAACTGCTGGGTTGTTATATCCCAGTCTTCGTAAGTCGGAGCCGTAGTCACTTTGTTAACTTTATTTGTCCTAACAACAAAAGATTTTTTGATGCACAATATAAGCATGGTATTTTTTTTTATTATTAGTTTTACGCTTTGACCTTCTCGGAAATAGTTTGAGCTTTTAGGTTTCGGAAAGGGATTCTATTTTTCCAAATATTAGTCCGATGGTTAATTTTTGTGTTGTGTTTTCAATTCCTGCATATTGTCAAGTTATATTTAAATTTTTCTAATAATTTATATATTGTTAAAGTGAACAGATTCGGATATTCACGTTGTAAGCTTTAAAAATATAAGCGTCTACAATGAGGAGAAATATAATTCTTATTATTCATAAAACTTAAAGTTGTATGGAAGTTGTGTGCATTAAGTACTCGATGGTATATTACTCGGCTATTTGCAAGAACCTAACACGTGTTAGTTACTGGTTTCATTTGGCAAACAGGCTAATAAAACAAACCAATGTTCTGTCAAGTATACTGCCACGTGGCAATTACTTGACAAATACGCAACACATAAACGAATAGCATTCGGGGCATACCTAAACGACACTTTCATATTGTCGATTTGATACTACCTACTATACCCAGCTATTGACTTGTCATTAAAAAATTAAAAGTATGGGTTACCGTATTTTGGGTATTTTTTTATTAGTATATAGGGATATTTATTGGTAATTGGACTATCTGACTCTATTTATACGAAGGGTCGGTAAAATAAACAAGTATGGGTTGTATTTTCAGACTGTTTTAATATTGAATTATGACTTACTAATACATTATTATTTATATTACAAATGTGAGAGATTACTTCGTCACAGAGTGGACGACAAAAATTAACTTACAGATGTGCCACATTATAATGTGCTAAGATTTCCTGAGTTAGATAAGTTATATACACTGAAAAACTTTTACTATAGGAACAACAAAGAATTCGCGAAAAAATAATCAGATGTTTCATAGTGTTTGCGGTTGTAGGTTTTACAATTGTGTATGAAACAGCTGATTATTTTTTTCATGAAAAATGCACAATCTATGAACGAGGCAACCGAGCGCAACTTAGATATTTTCGCTCAAATCAAGCAAGAGATACGTTACGGTTGAAAATTGTTTCACATACGGGAAGCTTCATCATGCGCGGTTGGCATAGGCTATAATTTGCGCGATTGAACAGCTAGTCTGCTATGCAAAAATTTATATTTATTTCTTAGTTTAGGTTTTGAACATATGGAAAATGTTATATTGAATATTTCTATTTATGTTTGCAGCTTGAAGTACCGTCCAGATCTCGTGCTCATGAGGTGTCCACCGACAAAAATGAAATGAAAATGTCCGATGACTCTGGTTACACTGACGGCAATAGCAGCCCCCAACAAAACAGAGATAAGGTGCATTAAAATATTCCTTATAATTTAAAAGTATTTAATTTTGCATACGACTCTTCACACATGTGCGACTTACATGTAGTAAGCTTCCTGCCATTATATTTTTTTTACAAAATAGTACCAACTTAACAAATATACAAAAATAAAACTTAATTAAATAACTGAACACTATAACTTTGTAATGTGATTGCTGGATCACCGCTTTCAATTAACGGAACACACCGCGATATACACGTATATAATAAATATGTCACCATTAATTTAAATAAATAAAAAGAAAACAAATTTGAAAAGACAAGGTTAACTTTAGGTTTGGGAACGACTGAACATTCAGTAATAAAGTAACACTCCAGCTATCGACCATGCTATACTATTCGCACAGTTAAGACTGATAAGTAGATATTCTAAAGGGTAATCTCTAACTAGTTCCAGTGAGTGGTACTAGATGGCGCTACGTCTGACAAAGAAATATAGGGAATCCTTAAAAAATTAATTTCAGTTCTTAAAAAGAAAAAACATGCAAAACTAATAAACTTATAAATAAATAATATACTTAGCTATGGGAAACTAAATATCTTGACATCAACATCAGAATAGCAAAGAAAGTGCCTGAATCGAAACTGTGCTTCACTTTAAATAATGGAAATCCCATAATTCTTCTCATGGATCTGCCAAACATCAGGGTACAATTATATCATTTATCGAGTAGATTTGGGGATCGTTTATACCAATCCTACTATTGTTCAACTTAATAAACACTGTAATAAAACAGATTAGTCTAAATTATATTTGCTGTATAGAATCTAACAATAAGTTATTTTGTTTATAAAGGGTCTAAATTTAGATTTTTACTCTTGAACATATCATAATGAAAACTTCAATAACATAAAATGTCCATTGCATAAAAGATCTCTCTGGACAAATCTAGGAATTTTGAAACGAATGGTAACTATATAAAATACTTATTACGTAATAAGATATCGTCATATACTTATTTCTGGGGCCATCTATATTACTTGTATGTATGTATTATAAAAGACTTAATAAGTTAATAAAATGAACAACAAACTTTACTTAGTATTAAATAGTATACCAAGATTCCTTTGCCAGGTCATGATTACGGGCTTTAAAATGATGATTCAAATAACAAGTTTTGTTACATAGATTAATTGATGATGAAAATGCTATCATAAAGGAATGTTAAATATATTGAAATACTTAATATGTAATTCTAGTAGCGGTTGATTTTTTATTGGAATAATTTATTAGAATATCAGAACATTTCGTGGCGGAATTCACTACAGTTTCGGGGTTTGGCGCCAAAACGAAATCTTATGAACTCGTTCGTGATTGGTGGAGACTGGTAATCGGTAATTAAAGCCGGCGGGAAGGGATTCTGGGACGATAGGTATAAAAGGGAACGTGGGATCGGATTCGAGACTTTTTTCGGGAGAGGCACATCAACGAAGACGGAACTCGGGTCGTCGTGGGCTACAGATAGTGGAGCAGAGGCTGAGCTGGCTGTTTGGCAGGTTTTGGGTTCAGGGCTTCCGCCTTGGACCACAAGTAGGTGCCATTAGGGAACGTAGGCTTATTAAAAGTAGGGAGGCAGGATTAGACTAATGTTTCTTTGTGCAATTTGTATGTTGTATCATTGATTACCAACACTATTTTATGTATTTTGAGGTCTTTTATATTATCCTGGCTTGCCGCAGACGGATTCAACCGTGTGGTCCTTGGGGAACTGTATGGAAGGATAACAAGTAGCCAATGTTCTTTCGCAGGATCAACTCTATCTCTGTATCAAAATTCATTACAATCTGTTCAGGGATTTAGATTCGAAAGCGTAACAAACAGACAGACAATCACTATCGTATTTACATATATTAGTAGGGATTATCTATTTATAGACACAAAAAATACACTGTTCAAATAACACATTCCTAACCCGACATCAACGAAATTGCTGACTGTGAATTAATATACGCAAAGTAATGGCATTGTGTATGTTATACCGTAGATAAGGAGAATAAGAACTCGATGCTCGGCGCATTGAATCTACATTTTTATTATAATATTTATTAATTATACGTAGGAAACAAGACATCGGGTGGCACCCCCGGTGCGACACTGTCACTTTTGCAAAAAATACAAAAATTAGTTAAATATGTAATAATGGTCCTAAAGCACCCCTTTACTTGGTACGATAATGTTACTTTTGTAGTACGCATAGTTTCCGTATGAGGGCGTGAGTGTCATTGTCGTTTTGGCGCGAATCACGGCGACGCTGGGAGCAGCATCGTTTTATTGGTTAGTTGTGCGCGGTCGCCGCCAGTGCAAATATGTCTTGGAGCTACACTGTTACTAAGGTAATTGTGACATAAAATTTTTATTGGTTCTGGAGCAATAGTGACCTAAGATACAGTTGTGACATTATTTCCCCAATATTTAAATATCTTTCAAAATTTAGTTATGTACTATAATGACCTTTATTAATAAATGACTTTGTTTTCCCAACCCTTGCGTTTTTAAATAAATGTGCCACACAATTTACACCAATCACCTGGTCTCAAACTAAGGTTTTTCTTTGTATTAGGTGAGCCATTGTGCCTACTAGGTCATATTGCTTATAATTTGACTTTAAATATATTGGTTGTAATAGTGTCGGATATTTTTTATTAAAGCTCGAATTAGTTTTGGACTAACGAACAGTGGTGATTGTACAAACGTTTTTTTTTATTTTGATCCTTTTTCTTATTTTCAGTTGTTTTTTAAATGAAATAAAATGCTGTCTCGGGGAAAAAAACTGGTATTACTGACACGTCCAACATCGCCCATTGAAAGAAATGAAGCCGTCGAATTTTCAGTTCCACCATCTGATATCAACCAAAACGGCAGTAACTCTGTTTTACCAAATCTTACCTCCCCACATAGTAATACTGTTATCGACGACGAAAATTCAACAGAAAACCAAACTGGATGTACAACTGGTACTGATTCAGGTGATGATTTCAAGCCCCCATCTAGTTCGTCTTCATCCTCAAATTCTTCCAGTTCGAGTAGTTCATCTAGTGATAGTAGCTCTGAGAATGAGGCTGTTGATGATCAAGAATCAACATCATCACCAAAAACAAGGGGAAGAAAACGTACTCGTAATCCTAATAGCTGGAAAAAAAATATAGCAAAGAAATTAAGGAATTCCGGTAATGAATATCGGATCAATTAAAACAGGAAAAACAGTTCAGGCTAGAAAAATTGGTCCCTCTTGTTCAGGTAAGTGTCGGCTGGCTTGCTCATCTCATTTTACCCAAGAAAAAAGAATTCAAATATTCAAATCTTATTGGGAGCTAGGCAGCATAGAAAGACACCGTGATTTTTTGAATTCCTGCATCAGACCACTGGAAATTGCAAGCCGGCGTATTAAAACAA